TTTAAATTCTTTATAGAATTACAAATTTAAAGTCTTCTACGGAGTGAAATATTTACTGAATTTCTCAGCGTGCACATGCTTATTGACATTCTTACCTTGACAGGTTTTACTGACTCTTATAGAGTGAAATATTTGCTGAACTTTTAAGAGTAACATGTTTGCTGAATTTCTCAGGGTGACCTGTTTACTAACTTCCATAGAGTGCCATGTTTTCTGACTTTTCTGATGTGTCTTGTTTTCTGACTTTCCTGATGTGTCTTGTTTTCTGACTTTCCTGATGTGTCTTGTTTACTGACTTTCCTGGTGTGTCTTGTTTACTGACTTTCCTGATGGGTCTTGTTTTCTGACTTTCCTGGTGTGTCTTGTTTACTGACTTTTCTGATGTGTCTTGTTTACTGACTTTCCTGATGTGTCTTGTTTACTGACTTTCCTGGTGTGTCTTGTTTACTGACTTTCCTGATGGGTCTTGTTTTCTGACTTTCCTGATGTGTCTTGTTTACTGACTTTCCTGATGTGTCTTGTTTACTGACTTTCCTGATGTTTCTTGTTCACTGACTTTCCTGATGTGTCTTGTTTACTGACTTTCCTGATGTTTCTTGTTCACTGACTTCTGTAGACTGGTGATGCTGATAGCCTACCAACCAGCAAGGTGATGGAGAAACAGAAGGTGGTGCTGGAGGAGCTCAAACACAAGCTGGATTTGAACCTGGAGAACTTTGACAGCCTCAGGTAGCAGAATTATGTTGGTTCTCGCCGTAGTGGACAATCTAACTACAAATGGAGGGAAAAGAATCTGTTTTATTTGACTCATCATCATCATGTACCCTGCTCATGTCTCTCCACAGATCTCGATCTTTAGTATTCTGAATCAGTTCTTTTCTGTCATTGCTCTTACCCGTCATTGCGATGTTCTCCTGTGCCTCTCTTTTCATCACACGACCCAAGAACACTGACTGCTGGTCTTCTCATCACACGACCCAAGAACACTGACTGCCGCTCTTCTCATCACTTGACCCAAGAACACTGACTGCCGCTCTTCTCATAACACTACCCAAGAACACTGACTGCCGCTCTTCTCATTACATGACCCAAGAACACTGACTGCCGCTCTTCTCATCACACTACCCAAGAACACTGACTGCCGCTCTTCTCATCACTTGACCCAAGAACACTGACTGCCGCTCTTCTCATCACACTACCCAAGAACACTGACTGTCGCTCTTCTCATCACACGACCCAAGAACACTGACTGCCGCTCTTCTCATCACATGACCCAAGAACACTGACTGCTAGTCTTCTCATCACATGACCTTAGAACACTGACTGCCGCTCTTCTCATCACATGACCCAAGAACACTGACTGCTAGTCTTCTCATCACATGACCCAAGAACACTGACTGCTAGTCTTCTCATCACATGACCCAAGAACACTGACTGCTGCTCTTCTCATCACATGACCCAAGAACACTGACTGCTAGTCTTCTCATCACATGACCCAAGAACACTGACTGCTAGTCTTCTCATCACATGACCCAAGAACACTGACTGCTAGTCTTCTCATCACATGACCCAAGAACACTGACTGCCACTCTTCTCATCACATGATCCAAGAACACTCACTGCCGCTCTTCTCATCACATGACCCAAGAACACTGACTGCCTCTCTTCTCATCACATGGCCCAAGAACACTGACTGTCTCTTATGGTTGTATATATTTTCTGATTTTCAGGTAGTCGTTATTAGTCACTTATTGCTTAATATTTGACTTTAATCTAAAAACAAGTAGAATTGGGTATATGATGCCACTTTCCTATTTTTTGTATCAGTGCCCATTTATGAGTCAGTTTTCAATTATTATTCAGCGCTCAGTTATCAGTCAGATTCCGGTTATCAGTCGGTGCCCAGTTCTGAGCCAGCATCTAGTTATCAGCTAGCGCCCAGTAATTAGTCAATTTCCACTTATCAGTCAGCGTCCAGCTATCAGTCGGCCGCCAGTGGCTTCCACCGTGGATTGAAAAGAATAGTAACAGAGGACATGATACCGGGAAAGAGAGGCAGAGGCTGACCAGCAGTGCGTAGGATATAAGTGACACTTTAGGAAAGTGCATGAAGCGGGAGAGCTAGCAAGAGACCAAGTTTCTCTCAAGCTGGCTGTGATGGGTATGACATTCTCTAAAGGACCTGCTACATAATAGCGCGGTGGGTGAAGTTGTCCTTGTCACCATGCCAACCATTACTTCCCAGATTTTTCCTACAGTTCCAGAAATCCTGCCCAAATTCAAAAATCGGTAACTGCGACTGGTCAGTGTAAATTGTTGAAATTTGACATGCAGCCAGTTAATAATCATACCCTTGTAAGATTATTTTTTCCCAATCAATCTCCACACGTGTGTCAGTTACTGTATGTTCAGTTTCTTCTTCTTCTTCTTCTTCTTCTTCTTCTTCTTCTTCTTTTTCTTCTTTAGCATTCCGAGCCCTTGAGGTTCATTGTTGCAGATTTCGCCCACCTCCATTCATCTCTCTGGTTGGCCTTCTCTTTCCATTTGGTGACACCATATGTTTGCAGGTCTGTCTGGAAATTATCTCTCCATTGTCTTCTTGGTCTGCCTTGTGGTCTACAAACATTCATCTCCCTTGTAAATACAGTTTTCACTTCTCTGGCATCTGACATTCTCTCATTACGCCCCAACCATTTCAGTCTATTAGCTCTCTTGAGGCCAGTGATCAATGGTGATTTAAACAGATTATGAATTTCGCTGTTGCTTCTTGCTCTCCATTCCCCGCTGTTTGCATCTTTGATGGGTCCAAAGATTCATTGTAAGACTCTGTTTTCTAAACCTGTAATAAGGCTTCATCTCTTTAAGGTGTACAGAAATTATTAATCAAACAAAGATCACAAAAGTTTGCTGCTTTGAGAAAACAGCAGCATCTGTGCAGTTGTGCATTAAAGAATCATAAGGTCATGGGAAATCTCAAGAGTGAGGGCATGAGTTTTGAAACACATTATAATACCATTTGAGGTTTGAACAAATGGATCAACATCAGGTAGTAACCCATAAGTGTTTAATTCTTCTTCTAACTCAAGTCTGAGTCCAAAGAAGCTCAGCACTGTGCACAGTCTCTGTAGCCCCGGCAAGGATTGTGAAATACTTTGGGTAGATTTTAAACTCCCAATTTTTGCCCGGGCAGCGCCGTTAGGCTACTCTTTTCGTTTATCAACTGCCAAGGGATTTTTTAACGTGCGCAGCAACCTGGAACCTCCAGCACTTGAGGCGGACACCATGCCTTGAGACCACGCAGCCCCCTTATAGTACCATTTCAGCCTGCCAGCCAGGTGTGTCAGAAGTAAGGGAAATCTGCTACATTATTCAACCTCAAAAACTCATCATATAACACTTTTGAGAACAGGGATCATTTTTGTGACAACAAATGGATCCTGAGAAACAACCAGCAGAGAATCACCAAAGGGGCACTAAAGTGGGAAATAAAGTTATTGAGGAAGCAGCGGGGCCCAAAAGAAACGATAAAGTGAATGTTAAGGAAAGAGGTCTATGGTGCTGGTCTGGATTCCATCTATGGTGTTTATTTGATTGCACAGGATACAATGCAGTGGAAGAATAGACTGTGAGCCCTATGTGACAGATAAAGACACAACAAGACAGTGATGTTTATGATGATGTGGATGTACTTGCTTATAAAACTGCTACAAAAGAAATACATTTTTAAAAACTAATTCTGTGCCATCTTCACAGTGAAGGTTGGCTAGAGTGTACCCAGTGCTGTCTTTGGGCATAAAGGGAAATGAGCAAACAGACCATCTGGCAAGCACTGCACCCAGGCATGTGGGAAGAAGCATGGACAGAGCAGATATCGCAGTGCTGTACGGACTTGGCTAGTGGATAATGAGGAATCCCTGACACTAACACGATTGCATGACATGGGAGTAAAGCTTGGTGAAGCACGTCTATGTCGTCTTCAAGGCCGAGATAGGAGACTGTATAACCATCTTCTATTGGGAACAATTAGTAGAAGTACTTTGGAGTGGCTGCTGCATTGGAAGACTGAGCACGCATGGGAATGCTCAGTGTGCAGTGACGTCGATTGTGATAACATAACATAACATTTGGGAATATTACGTGGTGAGGTCCCAATCTCTTCCATGGTGTGACTCTCGTACTACTGTCCAGAAACCTCAAGAATGGCTTTTAAAAACATATCTTCTTCTTCCTCTTTGTGTTCACCGGTTATAAAACTCCAGTGGAAAGTTCTCTTTGTTAGTTCACCTCTGGTCTTAAGTCTTGTTCCAGAACCTGAGTTTTGTGTGCATATCCGTTTTACACATCTGGCTTATTTTGGGTAAACTGTTGGTTCCTTACTTTGCAGGCAGATGCAGTCCGACTTTGAAGGAAGCTGCCAATTAGTCGACTTCTATGACAGGTTTGTTGGGGAGGCACTGGGTCTGTTCCTGTTTTCCTGATAGTGGAGTCCTGGAACCAATGAAGGGATCAAAAATAAAGAAAACATTTACGGCGAAAAGCAAACCCTGTTACTCGAGGATCATGAATTTGTTAAACACTATCACTAACCTTTAAGCAACACAGTTGCTACAAAAGGTATATGGTTAAATTTAGTACAGGGTTGCCTCGACTGATGCCAACCAGTCGCAAGTCGAGTTGATATTTTTTGACACTATTTTCAATCAAGGGGTTTGAAAAATTGTTCATAAAACAAAATTTAATCTATGTACCATTGCACATAATGTGAAAAATACATAATATATTCTTTAGCATCAGTTCCAGGAACTTGTTTACCCTACCTATGTGGTTATCTCTAGTTATTTACTTTTAGTGTTTATTTATTGTGGTCATAATTGCAGATGATCATAAGTTGCATAGGTTGCAAGTCGATGAGAAGGTGTGATCTGATGTTTGTTTTTTAAGACTGCTGTTGTACCTGGTTTTATTCATGATATTTAAATTATTGCGTGTTCTCTTTTCAGTGTCGAGGAATTGAGGCAGGTGGTTGACCATGCAGTTGGACAGGTGAGTTTAGGATGGCTCTTTGTATTGTGGCCCATTTCCATGCAAGACCTAATGGTCTCCTAACAAGAGTGTTGTATAGGTACAGGACTGTTTCGGAGGGCATCTGCCTGAGACGAGGGACCAACAGTCTGCACACAAAGAAGCCAGATCTGTAAAATATATATATATGCAGAACTCATGTTTTGGAACAAGATTATCCCAGTGTGCGTTCCAGGGCCCCATTGTGGGGGAAAACAAGAATATACCCACTGCCTGCACAAAAGTAAGAGTCGACTAATTTGAGAGCTTCTTTCAGAGTCGGAGTACATCTGCCTAAGGGGCAGGAAACCAACAGTCTGCATGCAAATGAGTGAGACCTGTAAAATGGATGTACACGCAACACTCAGGTTCTGGAACAGGACTGGAGTCGAGAACTGGATGAACAGCCAGAACTTTCCGCCAGAGTTTACAACTGGTGAACGTAAAGAAGAAGGAACAAGACTAAAGCTCAGAAATGGACGAACAAGCAAAACTTTGGTGTCAGAATTTACAGCTGGTGAACCTTAAGAAAAAGAAGAATCATCTTTATCATCATCATCATCATTTTCTCTTCTTTATTTTATTAACTTCATCTTCTGCTTTTTCCTCCCCCATCTGTTCTTCCTCTTTTTTCATGTTCTTCATTGTCTTCTTCTTCCTCTGTTGCTGCTTCCTCAGTAAAACATGTATCTCTCTGATAAAATCAACAGTCCTTCACAAGTTCTCATCATCATTTTGCAGTTGACATGGCTAGGTTCATGTTGCCACTGCACCCCTCTCTCAGAGCAACAGTCTTTGAAAACATCTCAATTGTTCATTTGCTGTCTTCATGATACATGTCAAACCATATTGTTGATGACTGAGATGTCTAAGTCTACAGTGATTCACTCTTGAAGTTTGTGTGTGCATGCAGTTTGTATGGGTGGAAAGAAATATTATCACAGTCAGCGTCGCTGCACGCCGGGTATTCCCCTGCGTGCAGCAGCCACTGCAAGAATGTAGTTCTGCCGGTTGTTCCTCTGAGGAGCTGGTTATAATCTTTTCTCAGCCTGGAAAGCAGCATGCATAAGGCATGCTTCACCAGGCTGTACTTCCATACCCTGCAATTCTGTTAGTGTCAGAGATTTGAGGTTTGAACAACGGACCAACATCATGGCACACGGGTAGTAACCCATAAGTGCTCCATTTTTCTTCTAACTCAAGAAGCTCAGTAAAGTGCACAGGCTCTGTAGCACCGGCAAGGATCCTGAAATACTTTGGGTAGATTTTTAACTCTAAATTTTGCCCAGGCAGTGCCGCTAGGCTACTCTTTTCAATTTCTAACTGCGAAGGGATTTTTTACGTGCACACCAATGCACATGGGCATCCACTCTCACTTCCCAGAGATTGGGGGGAATTACTATGAGTCTGGGTCCATGTGAAAAAATTCCAGCCCTTACCAGGGATTGAATCCGGAACTTCCATGCCTCGAGACCATATAGCTCCCTAATCAATAATTATTATTATTATTATATTATAGACATTATTAATCAATAATAATAAATGACTGAATTGTCTAGAGTATGAGATAATCTACCTTGAGGCTATGAATTTAATAAAGGAAAGAAATTAAGCAGATTTTTTAAAATGTATAAACATTTTTTGTGTGAGGATCTGTTCATGAAGTCATTGGTCGAATTTTGCAGGCGAGGTAGTCTATAAGATAAAGCAGCCTGTCTCACACCGACCCTTATTAGTAACATCTTATAACATGCTTAAGTAGAGTTGAGTTATGAATTGACATCACAGCCCTCAGGCATTACCATGCATGCTCCGTTCTCATCTTCAGCAGCCAGCACAGAGTTCCAATACTGATGGTACCGTTTATAACATGCCTAATAGCAAAGGAGCTTCTCGTCTGTCCTTTTATACTGTGACCTGGAATGTTTGAATCCTTTGGGTTAGCTCAATCTATGTTTTCAAAGTTTCCATAACCTCTTCTGTAACCAACAGATCATCAACCCTGCCAAGGTGAAGGAGAAACTTGTGGAGCAGCTTAAGACACAGATAACTGATCTTGAGAGGTTCATTGAGTTTCTTCAAGGTGAGAACAATTTAGCAGATTGTCTAGAAATCAGCACAGAGAAACATCGTATACAAAGCATTTTTATTCCCACCCTATGCTACCAGTGCTAGACGTGGTCACTCACAACAAATGATTAAAGAAAATTAGTAACCATGGAAATGAAGTGTCTGAGAAAGACTGTAGGAGTGACCAGACGAGATCAATCAGAAATGAGGTCATATGAGATCAAGCTGGCACAAAACAAATTTTAAACTACATACAAAGCAAATCAAATGGTTTGCCCACTTGGAGAGAATGCCTTCTGATGCTATACCATTCAAGGCGTATACCAAAAGAGGAGAAGGACCTAGAGCAAGAGATAGACCAAGAACGAAATGGGAAGATAACATCAGAGACACTCGACAGCACCACGATGTGTCTATGAATGAAGCAGCTAGAAGAGCAGGAAGCAGGACCTTAAATCTGCCTTGACACCCGAAGCAGTAAAAGAGAACATAAAGTAGAGGTTTAGAAATGGCTCGACAATTTGTCTAGAAGTGACGCAGCAAATTATCTATAAATTATCTTCCTGGGGATTCTGGGGACCCAGTTTGGGCGAGGGGGTGGGGGAGAATAGACCTACTGTAACCCACCCCCCCCCCCCCCAGTATTTAAAAAGAAAATAAGCTTGCTGTAATTAGGGTTTAATTCAAAGTCGATGTGCATCTGCTAAATGGAGATAAACCAGCAGTCTGCATGCAAATAAACCAGATCTCTAAACAGACCTGCACACAAACCTCAAGTTCTGCAACAAGAATGTGACGAAGTCTAGAAGTTATTCTAGCAATCATTACTTTTAGAAATGTTCTTTGTGTGGTTTAGATTTATCTATCAGTTCATCTGATTAGAGCCTCATCATGAATGCAGTGAGCTTCTGGTTACATGATGCTACCACATGATTTTACTGACCAGTAGGCACCCCTCGCAGGGCGATGTGACTGTATCATGGCGGCCATTTTTACTTCCCGGGACATTTCCTGGTACCATTTAGGCTGGGTCACCATGTAAGGAGTCCTGTCTTGAAATAACTAACCAACTTTTTTCATATTTACTTTGATGTAAAGGGGAACGATATTTAAAATGACAATATCATTGTAAACACACCTTCTCCTCGACTTATGACTTTTGCAATTTACGACCATCCGTATGTACGACACACACAAATAAATAAATAAAAAAGTAATGAAAGAAGGGTAACTACATTGGTAGAGTCAGAAAGTTCCTGGAAGTGATGCAGTGTAGTGTGTACAATAATTCTAAGTACATAGATTGAATTGTTGTGTTTTATGTACCCTTATTGTAAACTGTTTGAATGAAAATTGTTTAAGAAAATATAAATTCGACTTACGATTAGATCGACCTGTGACTGTTAGTCAGAACAGAACTCGCCATAAGTCGAGGAGACCCTGTATGTGTGTGTATTTTAAATTCTCGTCTGCACAGCCACACAGTCTTATATACTCAGGCTCATAGCCCTCCTGTTCTACACCACCCTAAAAGTAATAAAAGATTGTAAAAACATGTTTAAGATATTGAAATATTTTGAAATCACTTGTTTAAAATTGTTACCCAGGGGAAGCTACCAGCCCCGGACCTTTAGGAAAAGATCGCTGCTTATGTCCCATGCATGAGTGTAGCCAGGTGAGTGTTTGTGGAAGAGTTTTTGCACTTTTTTCCTAGTTCAATTGTTGTTGGTTATCCATTGTTGCCAGAAGGTGAACATTTTAGCACCGTCAACCTAGAGTGGGTTGATACATGGACGAATGGGTAAATCTGAGCTGTGATTGTTACAGTGCTGATAGTTGAATATCAACTATTGTTTCTCATGTGGGTTCCGGGCCCCATTTTGGGGGGGGGGGGGAGAATAGACCTACTGCCTCACTAATAAATGTGTTGTACAAGGTGACTAGTTAGAGAGGTTTTCTTCAAAGTTGGCATGCATCTGTCTGCTTGAGAGGCAATGAACCAGCAGTCTGCATACGAATATGCCACATGTAAAATAGATGTACATTTAAAACTCAAGTCCTGGAACCAGGCTAAAGTCTGTATGGAGTCCGGGGCCAAGCCAGTTTCAGACCTCAGAAATGAGATATCTGAAAAAGGTGGTCCAGTTGACAAGAAGATCAAAGATCGCTATCAGACAGTACGTCAGGATATTGAAACTCAAACCTTACAAACTCAAGTGGATTAATCACAGTTACAATGGTTTGGACATGTATGCAGAATGAGAGAGAAAGTTGGCCACCATAACAGGTATGGGAGGCCAAGAAGCAGGAGCTAGACCACTTGTGTGATCCAGCGTTCGCTGGAAGTACAACATCCGACAGTCCCTGACTGGAATGAACAAACAAGCAAAATGCAGATAAAAAAGTCTGGTGATCTCTTTGGCAAACCTCTACACCCTAAGGTAGAAGAGGAGCAACGTAGTAAGTAAGTAAATAAGGGTTCCGAGCCCATTGTGGGGAAAACAAGAATAGACCCATTGCCTCCCAACAGGCATGTCACAGGAGTCGACTGATTGGGACCTTCCTTCAAAGTCGGAATGCATCTGCCCGAGTAGCAAGGAACAACCATGTGCACACAGATAAGCCAGTAAAAGAGATGTAAATGCAAAACTCAGGCTCTGGCACAAAGTCAAAAGTCCAAATGTACAAACAACCAGTACTTTCCATAGTTGCTTTCAGCCGGTAAACAAAGCAGAAGTCAGAGTGCACCTGCTTGAGAGACAAGGAACTAACCATCCGCATATAAGCAAACCAGATCTGTGAAATGGATCTGCATGCAAAGTTTAGTTCTGGAACAAGACCAAAGCCCATAAGTGGACAAATAACCAATATTTTTTAAGTTTGCAGCTGGCGAATGTTAAGAAGAAGATGATGCTGCCTAGCTGTCAACTACAACTCCACATGCCAGCCATCCTTTTGCAGTTGAATGAAGATTCAAGAAATTAGATACTGATGAGCAGAATTGTTTGGCGAAAGAAAAGTTCACATGTAATAACATGTTTGTGACAACTGTCCATCAGTTTTTGTGTTTCTTTTCAGACATCAGCACCATCCTCTGGCTGCAAACACAAAGGTGCTTCTCCAGCACAGCAGTCGAAACTGAAATCTCAGTACAACTTCAGTGACACAGACCAGAACACTTCTAGTAACAATGTAATATTTTATCTTCTTTAATCTTGTTTCCTCATCAGCCTTGTAATACTTCTTCTCATGTCATTTTGATCCTCCCACCAACATTGTAATAGTTCTTCTCATGTCATTTTGATCCTCCCACTAACATTGTAATAGTTCATCTCATGTTCCCCCACCAACAGTGTCAAATTTCATATGAAGAAAAGGTTGTTCCCTACCAATAATGTAATACTTAGCTCATGTGATGTTGTCTTTCCTTTCAATAATGTAATATTTGTCTCATGTAATGTTGTCTCCCCTACCAAAATGTAATACTTATATAATGTTGTCAACCCAACAGTAAGGCAGTACTTATGTAATGTTGTCCCCCCCCCTTTAAATGTGGCTTATTTGTGTGCAGACTGTTGGTTCCTCGCTTCTTAGGCAGATGCACTCAACTTTGAAGGAAACAGCCCCTAATTAATCGGTTTTATATGGCATGCTTGTTAGGTGGTAGTTGATCTACTTTTGCCCCCTCAGAATAAGGCGCAGGAACCTACAAGGGGAAAATATGTTTGTGTGGCACATATGCCCAGTTCAGAGATAATACTAAATTAGGTTACTGGCTTGAGATGGTTGAATTCTAGGCTGTCATGAGGGGCGCCTGGGTACGATGCTCGACTAAGAGTTGGACATTTGTTGTTTTGTTTTGGCCGGAGGTCAGAAATAAAAATCCTAACCCGCACAGCACACTAACTATACCGCTTTAAATTGTAAGGCTCACAACACACAAACACACACACACACACACACACGCATGCACCCCCCTCTATCCCCACCCCCATCCTTTTCTTCCTACACCGACCTAAATATGGTAAAGATAGGCAGTAATTCATGTTTTGTGCACCCGCGTACAGCGTTGAGAGATAACTTTTTTTTCTATCTGTAAGACATCCCCATTTGGAGGACAAGCAACATAATCAGTAGAGAAACAATATTATTATGGCCTGCAGAGAATGAGGCACCTGGGTGTAACCAGAGGATCTGACCTGCTCACTACTCTCAGAGAAAAAGCAAGCTGAACATATAACCAGATTGTGACCGGTGCTATCAGTATTGGAACTCTGCGCTGGCTGCTGAAGTTGAGGACGGAGCACACATTTGAATGTCCCGTGTGCTGTGATGTCAATTCTCAACTCAACACATTCCGTGTATAAGTCTTTCACCCCCCCCCCCCCCCCCCCCCCCATTTTAATTTTGTTTTAAATGTGGGGAAACATATCCTCTTGTACACAGACAAATATGATGTATGTTGATTGTCCAGCAGATCAATGACTCCACTGCTAACATCATGAAGAAGACTCTGACACTTCTACAAATTTACATCATCAGTCAGCTGGGATGTGGCAGTCGGGATTTTAAACGCAACCTTCTGAAGAAGACCACTAAAGGAAACCATTGGGGGTGAGTACCATGCTTGGGTGCTGGGATGTCTGATGGATGGGTGAACTGATACAGTTCTAAAGGGTAAAGGTTACAGTCGAGACTAAGATCGACTTCATTGCACTGGGTTTTATCCTATACAGTTGGCATCTCTCGGCATAACTGCCAGCCACCTGCCGAGAACATCGCACAGAGCACGAACTCCATATCTCCGGTGGCGATTACTAGGGATCCCTTAAAAAAAATTGCACTTGTGAACTGAAAGACACCGCCGTGAAATAAAACCATGACCTTCAAAGCACAAGGCAAACGGCTTGACCACTTTGCCTTGGAGACATGCTTGCTAATAAGTTCAACCTGGTATATGTCCTGTTTATACGCAAAAACCTTAACTTTGTGTTCGACCTCTGGAGTGCCATCTTGTCTGAGTCAGAATTAGTCATGACACCACGCACTGTCATTGTTTACTTCTCTCGAGACAAAGCTTTGCAGAGTAGTGCCATTCCAGCAGATCCCAAACAAGCTGTAATTGCATTGTCTAGAATTACCAGACAGTGCCAGATTTCTGAAACATTCTGAGGAGAAGCCAAAACAAAGTTCTCTGGTCAGATTTTTAGTAAAAGTCAAACCTGATGAGCCTCAACCAGGTCTAAGTAGCAAAAAGAGTCAGAGAGAAGATAGATAAAAACTCCAGAATTTCAGATTGTTGAAGTTTTATTGTAAGAGGACTCTCTTTCCAAACAGTAGCATCTCCTTCTTCCTTCTCAGCACCATTCCAGTAAGCATCAAGTCTTCCCAGGAAGGTCAAGTCAGGTTAAATTTTCATTTATTTCATTTGACTGCTTTGGTGTTGATGTATTTTAGTATTTAGCAGTGTTTGCATTATTGTATGCAATTACTAATAAACTACAGACATTCATTAACTGGTGCCTGTGCAGAATAGAGGGAATTAATGGTATGATAGAATCACTAATGTAGAGCTTTGGGAGAGAACTATGCAAGCTCCAGTGGACCAAGAGGTGAAGAAAAGACGCTTGTGTTGGATAGGACACACATTGAGACAACTGGAGAACAATATAACTAGGACGTCTTTGCACTGGAACCCACAGGGGCTTAGAAATAATGGAAGGCCAAAAAACACATGGAGAAGGGAGCTGGAGAATTAAGTTAGAAAGATGGGGTGGACATGGGGAGAGCTGCATGCGATAGCAAAAGATCTTAAGGACTTGGTGTGAGTTGGTTTAGGGCCTGTGCTCCATTGGGGGCTAGAAAGGCAGAAGAAGAAGAAGACATTATTATATACAGCCTGACTAATGTATAATAATATAATAATATACAAAATATGTAACTAATATCTTTTTTTTTTTTTTTTACCTGGAAATGGATTAATTATTCGCGCATTCTTTCTAACTTGAAAATTTGTTTGGTATATTTCTTGTTTGGTGTAAGTCTAAGGTTGTGGAACGGATTATGAATGTATACCGAAAAATGTACCACAGTAGTGTTGAAGCTGCAGTAGTGTATTGACTAGCTGCTCACCTTACGGCTGAATGGTCTAGGGTTCAAATCCATATCGAGACTGATTTTTTTTCCTTCAAAATTGACCTTAGCTGCAAGGTCAGCCTTGCCTCAAATGGTTACTGGATAATTTCCTGGGAACATGGGAAATAAAAATGACTGGCAGGATTTTGACCACCACATCCTTTGAGTGCCGATGGGTCTATAAACAAATTAGCTCTATCTGTATGCCAGATTAGCCAGAGGAATGAAAGTGTCCTCTTCTATACTGGCAGATATCACAGCCTAGCTGTAAACTGTAACACACTTTACCAGCCGCCCTTTTAAGGCTGACACTAGAAGAATAAAAAGATATTTGTTTTCACCAATGTTTCACTTCTATCTAATGTTCAGGGATCTGAGAGCTAAGCTAGAGATGGCTGTCACAAAATGCATTGAACTTGCTGAGCAACAGAAGCTGGAAGCTAAACAAGACACAGACAGTGAAGATTACTCCTCAGATTCAGATGAGGTGAACAGTGCTGGTCCACACTTGTCTTATTATTTTATTTTTTTAAACTGTTTGTGGCTGTGTATACAAACATTCATTAACTGTTGCCTGTGCAGGATAAAAGGAATTGTGGTATGATAGAATCACTAATATTGAAACATACTTTGGATCTTTTCTCCACACCATGCTGACGTAGCGGGTAATAAACAGGCAGACAGGTTGGCTGGATCACTGGGTGGTGAATTGATACATGACAAGGCAGATGTGGTCAAGGCCCTTTGGGAACGAGCAACGGAATCAGCAGAGAAACAAGATTATTATGGTCTGGGGAGAATGAGGCACCTGGGTGTAACAAGAGGGTGTGGCCGGCTCACTACACTCAGAGAAAAGACAAGACAGACATATAACCAGATTGTGACCGGTATGATCAGTACTAAAACTCTGCGCTGGCTGCTGAAGATGAGGGCGGAGCACACGTGGGAATGCCCGAGTGCTGTGATGTCAATTCTTGACAACACTAATGTTGAGCTTTGAAAGAGAACTAAATGAATTCCAGTGGACCTAGAGGTGAAGAAAAGATGCTGGCATTGGATAAGACCACTCCGAGAAAACCTGAGAACAGTATAGCTACAGTATCTTTGCACTATAGCATAACAATTAAGGCAGATCAAAAAACTCATGGAGAAGAAAGCTAGAGAGTGAAGTTAAGAAGATGAACAGGACATGAGGAGAGCTGCATGCAGTATCTAAGGATAGAATAACTTGGCTTGTGTTGTTTGCAGCCTTTGCTCCGTTGGGGGATAGAAGACGGAAGAAGAAGAACTGGTAAATGGATTCTAATTACATTGTTTATCACATTTTCTTTATATGGGTTGTATCCGATACCATAATCTTTTCCTCACCTTTTAATTCACTGGAATTTGCTTAGACGTCTCCCAAAACCCTGCGTTAGTGATCCTATCATACTTTTTCACTCTTTCAATTTTGAGAAGGCACCAGTTATTGAAAACAAGGACTTTTCTTTAAATATATTCAGGCTGATGTCTTAAAGCAGTCTTTCCCATTTGGACTCTGGGGTGCTTGAACAAATTTACAAGGTCTGTGATATCATTAGCAAAACACACACGCGCATCTGTATGTGCACACACACATATATAAACAAACAGAACATAACCAAAAAAAGCCTCACAACTTTACAATGTAATTTTTTTTTTTTAAATCAATTCATAAATTTGTAAATTTATAATCTGTTTAAAGCACCATTGATCCCTGGCTTCGTGAGTGCTAGTAGACTGAAATGGTTGGGACACATTGAAAGAATGTCAAATGACAGAGAGGTAAAAACTGTTTACACAATTGAGTAAATGGTCATACCCCATGAGGAGACTAAGAAGATGTTGGAGAGATTATTTTCAGACAGACCTGTAAACACTTGGTGTTATAAACTAGAAAGAAAAGACCAACCAGAGAGATGAGTGGAGGCGGATGATATCTGCAGCAATGAACCTCAAGGACTCAGAATACTAAAGGAGAATAATATATTTATAAAATATTATCAGTTTTCAGTATGACTTAAAAATGTATGGGATCATGGCAGATTTGTGAACATAAAAGAGATTGTTGGGTGGTCAGATATCATTGGGGATAACTGTTGAAGAAGAAACTGCTTAACATGGAATAGGGATGACACATACAGTGAGTAAAGGACCCGTTTCCATGTCATTAGGTGAATTGGGCATATAGGGCTGGACCCAAATTTTATATTTTATAAACCAATCAGTGATGTGGTCAGCATCTTGCCAGCCATCTTTACTTCCCATGACTGCACCTGGTACCCACTCAAGTCTGGGTTGACCTGGGAGCCAAGGTCATTTTTGAAAAAATGTTCGGCTCCACCAGGACCTGTACTCTCGCCCTTCCGATCCCCAGGCGAGCGTCTCGCCACCACACCACGGCAACTCCCTAGTGATGACACATGAAGATGTCAACTACACATCTTCTTCTTCTTTGTAACAATTCATTTTTACGTTTTAATTCATCTGCAAATTTCTCTGACATGGATGTTTCTTGTAATCTTTTTTCTAATGTACTCTGGATGTGATCTTTGTAACTTGGTTAGAAGGATCTCTTAAGCTTGATATTTAATTCTGCACCAACCAGGTGGTGGTCACTATGAGCCTCAGCTCCTCTGTAGCTTCTAACTTGTTGTATGTTCCATGCATTTCTGTTATTTATTAAAGTGTGATCTGTTTGATTAAAAGTTATCTTGTCCCATGTTTGCCAGGTTTGTTTATGTATATCTTTTCTTTGAAATCTGGTGCTGCTTATCTCTAGTCATTATTTTGTAAACCAACACATGAAAGACGTAAATAAACACATGGAATATATAAATAAATACATAAAAAATATGCATAAATTACGTGAAGGATAAACAAGCTTATGTAAAATGTAAAGGTTAAAGCTGAGAGGATAGACTTGATTTTATTGGGTTTGATCCCATATGGCTTGGTCGCTCTCCCTGGAATGACTGTCTGCCTGCTGAGAGCAACGCACAAAGCAAGAACACTGTAGCTGCAGTGATAATCCCCAGGGGTCTCGGTAAAAACTGCAATGTGAACTGAACAACATAGTCTTGAAACAAACTCACGGCGTTCATCAGAGCATGAGGTTAACAGCTTGACCACTTTGCCAGGAAGACCCTTATGAAAAATACATAACAAACCCATGAGTGATATAAATCGATGACTTCTTTGTGTCTGACAGACCGTCCCTCAGTCGAGCCCAGCTTTAACGCAGTGTGTCCGCAAAGACCTGGCCATGGCAATCCGTGACCTTATGGAGCATGGGCTGATGGAAATTGGACAGTCTTCTAGTCTGGTCCCATTCGGTTGCTTCCCGAGTCGGTCAGCTAGAGTCACACAGATGCTTCATGCATGGGACTTGTTTCTCAAATACTATGAGATGAAAGTATGATGTATTTGTTTTTTGGGTGTGGTATTAAACAGTGTCATCCTTTATATCATCTTCTTTTTCATCTACTTTTTTTCCATCTACTGCTTTTCTTCTTCCTCTTCTTCCTTTCGCTCATTATTCATCATTTTTATAAGCTTTTATTAAGTACGGTTTTTGTGTGTGTCTGGTATAATTTTCTAAGTGTGTATGCTAGTATTGCCTTAGCTGTTCCTTTTTTTTTTCTGCTGCCCCCTGCTTCTCCTCCTCCATATTTGTCTTCGTCTATTATTCTTGCTGCTAATGCTGCTTCTTTTTCTGTTCCTCTTTTGCTGCGTCTCCTCCTCCTTCTTCACCTACTGTTTTTCATCATTATCATTTTCTTTTTCTTTGCTTGGATGCTTACTGTGTTCACAGGCTGATTGGTTGATATGTCAGGTTCTTTGGCTAGTAGGTTGTTGGTTAATGGGCTGTTCGCTTGGATAAGTTGTTTATTGGTTTATTGTTTAGTTTCTTAGCTGCTTGACTGGTTAATTGTTTGGTTGATTGCTTTTTCTGTAAACTCTTCTCCATTGGCCCTGAATGGGCTTTTGTTACCTTGTTTTGTTGTGTAAGCCATGGCTTCTCTGGTATACATGCCCTTTTTGGCCCAGCATATACAGTTTCAACAAACCTTATGTTGGTCACCTGTTAACAACGTTTGTAAGGGAGACAGTGGACCTTTTTTTTTAACACTGAAAGTGAAACCCCGAAACCCACATGGGAAGTTAATTGCTCCATTGATTGCATAGTTGAAACAGTTGTTGGTTGTTTGCTTGGTTTGTGGTAGGTCTGGTTAGTTGGTTGAGATAATTTGTGTCTTCTTCTTAGGGCTCACCAGCTGTAAACTCCAGCAGGAAGTTCTAGTGGTTTGTCCACTTCTGGAGTTAAGTCTTGTTGCAGAACTTATGCACATCCATTTGACAGATCTGGTTTAAATGTTTGTAGACCGTTGCCCCTAATTAGTCACCTACTGTGACATGCTTGTTTGGGGGAAAGGGGGGGGGGGAATTATTATCACAATGCTGTCCCCTGACCTTGACCAGGGTTCAGTTCTTGTAGTGAGTGGTTTAAGAAAAGACTCTTCTCATTGCTTTCAGATAGTGGTATGAAAGTCACACCATGGAAGAGATTTATACCTCACCGTGTAATGTTCCCATAGTTAGCAGTCAATACGTTGCAGCCTAGCTCAGTTGTGAGGCAGCATGTTGTTGGTGGTGGTGGTGTTGATGCTACTGTTGGTTGGTTGTTTTTTAACTGTGAATAATATTCCAAGGTTTCCACATATATAACCTGTATTAATCAACATCATCGTGTGCTTTTGCTTGCAGCATGGTCGAGAGTACAACGAGTCCCCAGCCAGAAAACTCTCCCAGTCGTTTCACCTGGACATGATCGGCGGCAGGCCAATCACCGCTAAGCAGACCTTCCTCGGAGCCATTGACACAGTCATCAAGTCCCACGCTCCACACAAGCGTAGTGAGGATGCCCACCTGAAGGCGTTCATTTGCTTGGCACTTAAGTCAGTTTGCTTCTTCTTGCTGTTGCCTTAGTTTATTTCGTCAGTAACATGCAGTTCTCATAGTATGTGTGTCATCTTCTTGTAGTCCATACCATATTTCGTTGGTAGTTATGTCCCTCCACAACCTACTGTCTCATGTATTTTCAATAATTTCAGACACATGCTTTTGGTCAATATGGCTGACAGCTAGTTGACCGCAGATGCTCTGAAAAGTTGTTTGTTTCCAGCTAGGTTTTGGTGATGTAAATTTTCCATTTCTGGACTGGAAGTCCAAAGGTTCCATCTACTGACTACTAAGTTGAGTGCTTGGTGTGACACTGTGAGCTGTGAATTTCATGTGGAATGTTTGTTTCTGTTATGCGCATGGGTCAGGCTGGTGACTGCACTAAAATGGTTGGTGGCTGATTGCATTCAGAATAGTGTGTACTTTTATGGGGCCGACTTTCATGATTGACCATTTGCACCAGCAGTGAACTGTAATTTTTTTGTGGGGCCATTCTTCTTCTTTATCTACTTCATGTTCGTCAGCTGTAAACTGTGGCGGAAAGTTCTGGTTGTTCATCCACCTCTGGACTGCAGTCCTGTTCCAGAACCTGAGTGTTGCATGTGCATCCGTTTGACAGATCTGACTCATTTGTATGCAGACTGCTGGTTCCTTGCCTCTCAGGCAAATGCACTCGTCTTCGAAGGACGCTCCCAATTAGTCGACTGTTATGACATGCTTTTGGGTAGGCAGTGGGTCTATTCTTGTTTTCCCTATAATAGGGCCCAAGAACCCACATGGGGAGGTGTATGACCATTAATTTTGGTGTATCTAGCAGCTACGTGATGCATTTTTACTTTACATGTGCAAGCTTCACAGTAATGCTAGGACTGACAAGCTTTTCACTAGTTTTCAAATGGCACTGAAAGACAATTTGTGTGATTATTGCAGACACAGGAGTGGAGCAGTTATTGGGGTGATCCATCTGCAATGATGTTGGAACCTCGGCTGATGACTGACTAATAATGCTACACTTGTCAAACTGTCCAGAATATTCCCTATCAATCTCTTACTACCCTTCTTTCCTTCCATTTCCGACCGTCGTATGTGTTCTACTTTTCTCCTTATGACGTGTCCAAAAAATGTAGATTTTCACATTCTGATATGGGTAATCAGTTCTCTTCAGTAGTTAATTTCTTTCAAGAGATCTTCATTAATCTTTTTATCTGTCTCGTCATTCATCTATAAAACCACATCTCTGCCACTTGCACATTATTTTCCACTAATCGGCCAACTGTCCACAATTCACTTCCTTAAATTATGACTGGAATTATGTAGCTTTTAAAGATTCTTTACCTCAGCTCAATTGACAGAAAGATTGTGTAGAATTGATTTCATTATCATATGTAAGATGATACGGTGGCACAGTCCATGCCTTCAGTTATATTGGGCACATAGGGCAAGACATTATTTTATAGACCAATCGGCACTCGGTGGGTAATGTGGTTAACATTATGCCGGCCACCTTTACTTCCCAGTGCTATACCTGGTACCCACTCAAGACTGGGTCATCCTGGGAACCAAGGTCATTTTTGAAAAATGTCTAGCTACATTAGGACCAGAAGCCATGACTGTCCAATCCGTAGGCAAGCATCTAGCCACTACGCCACATCGGCTCTCTCATGCTCTTGTACATGTTATCAATTCCCATGCTTACATTTCTCCATTTAGTGTTGCCAGACTGTCCAGTAGTTTTCCTCTAGGGAGAACAGAAAGGACTCCCCACACACACACGTACGCACACACACATACATACATACTCGTGCATGCAGACAAACACTCACACATGCAGACACACACACACACACACTCACACATGCAGACACACACACAAGCAGACACACATACACACACTCACACATGCAGACACACATACACACTCACACATGCAGACACACACTCACACATGCAGACACACATACACACACTCACACATGCAGACACACACACATGCAGACACACACACACACACAACTAGCAACTAAAAACCCCTAGTGTAAAGCTAGGGGAGAAGCATAGACAGAACTAATACTAATGCTATACAAACTAGGCTGATTACTGATTACGAATGGACATCATCGCACGCCGGGCATAGCCATAGATGCTCCGTCTCCTGCGGCAGTCGTCTTAAAGTGTAGATGCTCACTGTTCCCATTGGTCGCTGATTATACACACGTTGTTCTCTTCCTCTCATACGTCCATTCTTGTCGCATCCACGCTTAATTTCTTGTTCACACATTTGTACATACATGACTTCATCTAACCTCGTGTCCTCTGTCAGCATTCGTTCATAAATTGTCTTCACAGTCTCTGCTTTTTCTGATATAAGCATTTCTGTTGGTGTCGCCTTTGTTGCCAGAAAATCTGCTCTTTAGTTCCCTCACACTCCTGCATTTCCCACATGAGTTAGGCTGGTGGATAATGGTGAATCTCTGGCGCTAGCATAATTACATGACCTCAGAGTGAAACATGTCAGTGCCATTTTCAGGGTCAAGACAGGAGACGTTATAACCAATTTCTACAGAAATATCTGTGGGGGTATTTTAGGGAGGCTGCCACATTCAGGAACTGATCACTGTTGGGAATGCCCAATGTGCACTGATGTTGATTATGATAACGACATAGCATAGCGGCACACAGTTTTGTTTTTATTAAGGATTTTCAGTAAATCAAATCTGAAATTATGTAACAGATTATATTCTGTGTGGTGATAATGATTGTCATATATTGAAAGCCATTTTTTTGTTTTCACATCTCCAGTGAGAGAAAACTGGTCACCTGGCTGCGACTGTTGTTCAGAACACAGATGTTGATTGATACGTATTATCAGGACTGGAGTTATGTTGCTCGTACAGGTGAGCTTACGTTCATAAGTAAAGTAAATTAAAGATCCCTTTCACGCCTTTAGGCGTATCGGGCATATGGGAAGAGCGCCCATATTTTTACAGACCATCGGCACTATGTGGGTAATGTGGTCAGCATTACGCCGGCTGTCTTTACTTTTCCAGGACAGCCCATCCTGGTACCCATTTGAGGCTAGGTCGACCTGCGACGTCCCATACCACGATAAAAATCCACACAGCCCGCAGTGGGTTTCGATCGCGGTACGTTGGATGACGAGTCGGACTCGCAACGCCGTGTTTAACTGGGCTTACATAGTAAGCTTGGGTTCAACATTACATTAATCTATGTTACTGGGGTTTATAAGAAAAGGGTTGAGTAGTTTGCACTATCCTCATATATAGGTTCCTTGTCTGTCTGGGGGAGGGAGGCCAGTCACAGAGATAAGAGTTCTTCTTCTTCTTTGGGTTTCCCAACTGTAAACTCTGGTGGAAAGTTCTGGTTGTTTGTCCACTTCTGGACTGCAGTCCTGTTTCAGAACCTGAGTGTTGCGTGTACATCCATTTGACACATTTGTGTGCAGACTGTTAGTTCCTTGCCTCTCAGACAGATGCACTCTGACTTAGAAGGAAGCTCCCAGTCAGTCGACTCTTACAACATGCTTTTGGGTAGGCAGTGTGTCTATTCTTGTTTTCCCTATAATAGGGCCCCGGAACCCAGACGGGGGATAAACAGAGTTGGGTGATATCTGCAGCATTGAACCACAAGTGCTCGGAATGCTGATGTAGAAAAAGAAGATTAAATTTAAATCTAAAATTACTAAGTAGTCCCAGAAAAAATGTATATTTTTGCTGTGTGTAAGATCTAAAAATACTCCCAGTCACCAAAGCAAAACAAAAATTATATTTTCAGTTTTCTAGGATTTAAAAAAACTAAATTCACTGAGAAAAGTGCATATTTTTTGTTTGACTGCAATTTAAGTATACTGTACATTTACTGAGGTACTAG